GCCTTAAAATTGTAATATTTAGGGGTGGGGGGGGGGGTTTGCATTGATAATCTGTGGAGCCAGAACAGAAGGGAAGATCATTTGGAAGGTTCTACTGTTGCTATTACAGGAGCAGAAGTTTTGGCAGAGGGTACAGACAGCAGGGCGTGAGGGAGCGGTAGGTTAACGGCCCGTCTAGTTTTCCTGCTTACTTTCATTTTGTAGCGCACAGGAAGTTACCCTGAAACTAAAGCGACAGACTACTCATTATGTAAACAAGCTCTACTGAAGTTACTTCCGTTGGAACGTGGCTGGGGCTCCGTGTAGGCCGAACGGAAGGGTCCGGTACTGCCAGTGGCCACTAGGAGTAGAGAAAGCCGTTTTAGGTTTTGCATTTTCAGAGAGGGGTACCTGCCAGTATCCCTTCGTGAGGTCAAGAGTGGAGATGTACCGGGCCCTTCCCAGGCGATCCAGGAGCTCGTCCACCCGAGGCATTGGGTAACCGTCGAATTCCGAAACTTCGTTGAGACGTCGGAAGTCATTGCAGAAGCGGAGGGTGCCGTCTGGTTTGGGAACCAGAACAATTGGGCTGGACCACGGGCTGCGTGATGGTTCAATTCCCCCTAACTTCAACATCTGCTGGATTTCCGTCTCAATAGCCTGCCGACGAGCTTCCGGGATCCGATAGGGCCGTTGCTTAACGATGACCCCTGGGGGTGTCCTGATGTCATGTTGGAGCACCTGGGTCTGCCCGGGCATTGTGGAGAACACATCGGAGAACTGACCGATCAGGTGGTGCAAGTCGGCTTTCTGGGCCGCGGACAGGTGGGGGTTAACCTCCACAACCACGGGCTCCGTGGTGGCAAGTGCGGCGAGTTGGTCCCTGGTCCCTATCCACTTCTTCAGCAGGTTGATATGATATAGTTGGTCCGGTTTTCGCCGGCCCGGTTGTCTCACCCGGTACGTCACAGGGCCAATTTTTTCTAACACCGTGTACGGACCCTGCCAGGTGGCGAGGAACTTGCAGGCTGAGTTGGGGACCAGGACCATCACTCGATCCCCGGCTTGGAACTCCCGCGGTTGGGCGGCCCGGTTATAGTAGCGTTGTTGGGTTCGTTGAGATGCGGCGAGGTGCTCCCGGACTAACGGCATCACTCGCTCTATCCTTTCCCTCATCCCGATGACGTGCTCGATAACTGATCACTGGGGCGTGGGCTGCTGTTGTTCCCAAGCTTCCTTCGCCACATCGAGCAACCCTCGGGGCTGTCGGCCGAAAAGGAGCTCGAACGGGGTAAAGCCGGTGGACGCCTGAGGGACCTCTCGTATCCCGAAGAGTACGTACGGCAGCATCAGATCCCAGTCCCGCTTGTCCTCTGCTACCACGCGTCTCAACATCCGCTTCAGGGTCTGGTTGAACCGTTCGACGAGCCCATCCGTCTGGGGATGGTATACGGAGGTCCGTAACTGCTTTACCCGGAGCAGCCGGCAGAGGTCAGCCATTAGCCGGGACATGAACGGAGTTCCCTGATCGGTCAGTATCTCAGCTGGGATGCCGACTCGGCTGCAGAGCAGGAACAGTTCGTGGGCGATGGCTTTTGCGGTGGCTTTCCGGAGAGGAACTGCTTCTGGATACCGGGTGGCATAGTCGACAATCACCAGAATGTGCTCATGCCCCCGGGCAGACTTTGGCAACGGCCCTACTAGATCCATCCCGATGCGCTCGAAGGGCACCTCTATGATGGGCAGCGGAATTAGCGGGCTGGGGGGAGGTGACCTGGGGGAGGTCTTCTGGCAAGTGGGACAGGCTTGGCAGAACAGTTTTACCTCGGCGTCCAGGCCGGGCCAGTGAAATCGGTCACGGACCCGCTGTACGGTATTGGCCGCCCCAAGATGTCCCGCGAGCGGATGTGCGTGAGCCAACTCCAACACCGTTTCCGTCTTCGTGCGGGGCACTACGAGTAGCCGTTTTTCCTCCCCCCTTCGCTGGGCGACACAGTATAGCAGGCCGTTCTCGACGATAAAGTGTGGGAGAGGATGGGGTCGCCATCTCCTCATTAGACGCGCCTTTAGAGAGTAGTGCATCTTTACGGATTATGATCATAATGAAAGAGTTTTTGTTTTTGATTTGTTTTATTTCGTTAAGTAGTAATTTAAAGCTTTCTATAGGTATATTTATCATGTCTGTGAGGCATGTATTCGCTGAGTTTTGGTTCATTTTTGTGAAGCGTGCCTGTTCAAGACGAGACGGCAGAAAGCGCATCATGTTTGATTTTATTTTATAAAAGCACAACGTTTTGTTGATGTGAGTGCACACAAATAAAAGTAGACCCTTTACAGTTATGAATGATGCATTACTCTTACCTTTATGAGCAAAAATGACGGTGTATCCACTGAAAAAAAACGCAAGTGATCGCGCTGGCGCCTCTATGTCCTGCAAAAACTGAAAGTATTTTTTAAAAATTGTGTTCACCACGTTGGGCCGCATTTGAATTCGTGACGGGCCGCGGGTTGAGAACCACTGCAGTAGAGCTTACTATTTCTGTCAATGGTAAGTTTGTGATAACGTAAGAAAAGTAGTTTAAATGTTTTCCCACTTGCTTGAGCAATTTAGTGACGTGACAGGTGGCCAAGTATAGTGACCCATACTCTGAATTAGTGCTCTACATTTATCTCATCCAAAGTGCACACACACACAAGAGTCACCTAAGAGGGGAATTCCCCCCATTTTCAAAAATGAAATTCAGGCCCTGAATAAATGTCTAAAAATCCTGATTGGAGTATCACTATAAATAGTTATAAATGATAAATAGAAGGCTTTAAAAAGATTGGTATCTGCAGATACTGCTGTCTGTGATCGGCGATCGGTGATCGGCCTCAGAAATCCTGATCGGAGCACCCCTAATAAAGCCCATTGCTTTCTATGATTAGCCTATCATGCAGATACGTTTTTTTTCTTTACCTTGAGGTTTTATTACATAGGAACAGATAAGCAGATAAATCATTCGCTGACCCTTTGTACAGCGGCGAAAACCACTGATAATCGGCAGTCTCCTGCAAAGTTTTTATCTCCAGCCGTTAAAGCATGGAAATGAATGACAAAATCCTGTCATTCATTAAAAAGGACCTCCACACACAGCGTTTCTCCAGCCTCTAATCATGCACTTTGAAATGGATCAGTGCTGGTTCATTTGGCACAGAGCTCTGGGATATGACACTAATTAGTGAAGCTTTTATTGCGATCAGTTGCATGGAGCGCAGTGGGGCCGAGGCGTAAACACAAATGTTCTGCCTTGAAGTAAACTGTTATTTGCAGATGTAGAATTTACTGCCGGACGTTACTGCTGGAAAACATCAACTGAAGAGGCTTAGCAGCTGTTTTGAAAAATTTTCCTGATTTGGCTAAATGCTTTAGTTTCTGCTCAGGATTTGTTTCTTATGTGCCTTTTCATGTGCCTTGTATGCTGTACATTTATATATCATGTTGTTTACAAGATATACTCTTGTGACCTGTTCCATCGGGTGGCCCTTGTGGTCCAGGACTAAGCGTTATTTGGTCCGCATTTTTTATCCTTTTAAGCTGTGTAATAAATAATCAAGATTTATGAATCAAAAAAGCCAACACAAAATGTCTTCATAGAGAAATCTTTTGTAGACTAAGTGTTAAGTTTTTCTGTACGTTGAAGTCATCATACCATTATGTTTTATGTGAGATGAATAGGGCTGGGCGATAAAACGGTATCGATATTTATCGACGGTACACCTTCTTCGATAACGATATAAAAAATGTTCGATATAGTGCATGATATAGGCATGTGCTATGAGTGACGCAGACAGCACACACAAACACGAACACATGCTGAATTGAGTGCTGTGCCTGCCTGTGATGAGGAGATTGTGAATAAAAAAAAGAATATTAGTCGAATTTAAAATAAACATTTGCATTTGAATGTTAGGAGTGTGCGTCAGGGAGCGTCATCAGTGGTGCACGAGATCCGGTGATGATGATGTAAGTGACGCTGTTGCATTTTAATGTTTTGTTAGTCTAGCCCACGAGATGCGCCGCTGCTGTGTTATGCATTCAAAATATTAGAGAAATATAGAAGCTCAATGCAGAGAAGATCTTGAATGGGTTAAAACCGAAACCAAGCCATTCACACAGAGGCATATTCAGCACATTTTTAGACAGACAAATATGACTGCTGCACTCGCGTCTCACACAACAGATGTAGCCATGCAAAGTTAAAACAGTTTAAACTTTTAGAAAAAACGTCACGAATTTGTGGAGGTTTATTCCTTTTCACTGCGTCTCTTATGTTTTTAAATGCAATCTGCGTGATGGGCGATTCGGCTCTTTGTATTAAGCAATGCATAAATACATGATGCTGTTTTGTTCATAATTGTTTATGCAATTTACGAAATTATATTTGATTTTTATGAGTTAATTTAGACGTAATGCACGAGTTACTTGCTAAATGCGCTGCATTATTTTGCTCATTGCGCCCTCCTATGGCCTCGGGAGACAATTAGACCTATACAATAAAGACCTATTTAACCTGCATATAAAACATTAGAAATTAGATAATTGTTTAATTTGTATTTTGTTTTTGACTGTTAAAACAAAAACATATTTGTTGTTTGTCTCAATAAATTGTGTTAATTATAAATACAGTGGTTAAATTAAAAAAA